GGAGAAAGTACATCTGGAGAAAAATGTTGTCAAAGTTTGTCACTGTTCTCAGACAAGTTAGCATCATCACGTTAACGTAAGCTACTTTACTGAGCCACAACTCCATGCTTTTTCACTTGTGTTTGCCAAACACCTCGTGCTCCCATTCGTGGCTTTCTTCACTTCATTCAGTCTGGACAGTTTGTTGGTAGCTATTAGAAACAGCTAATGAATTCAGCACTCGTAAGTTCCAGTCCTCTTCGCCACTGGTCGGATCTTGTGACAGGAAAATTCTGAGGATCTTTGCTTCCCCATTATCTTGTAGCTTGGGTAGTCATGCATATTGATGCCGTGTGAATACCATTTCTGCATTCCTGGTTCTAGAATGATTCTGAAAAGGTCTGAAAAATTGGTGTCAGATAAAATAAAGGGCTGGGAAGATGCAGCACTAACATAAAATGCAGGGAATGAAAGAAAAAAAAAAGGGGACTATGTGAACCATTTAAATAGGCTCACAGAAATTTAATTTTTTGAGGCTTCTTTAACCATTTGAATACACTCCAATTACTAGTAAAATTCCAGTGAAGACAGGAGGTGACAAACATGCCGAGGTACCATACAACTTGTAAATGAAAAGAGATTTATTAATGTAGAAAATCTGTAAGATGAGACTAACTCTCTTTTCCCCAACATGCCCTTGCTACAAATACATTTACACTTCAGATTCTCAGGTTTGCTGACTGCAAAAATTAAGTAGCACTGGCTCCTCCTGCCTGCAACCCTCAGTCCAGTTCACACATCCGTAGGTGTTGTAACCTCAGAATGACAACTTTAATTTACAAAATGAAATAGGCAATGATACTGGTTGTCCAACGCAGTAATACTGGACAACCATAAATGTGTATGAGGCACATGCATTATTTATTTAGCAATGACCTCCCAGGGCTGGAAACATTTGATGTTTTGAAAATAGCAGGCTTAATGAGAGATTTATTAAACTTATTTGGTGATGTTTCTAATATGGTCAGCAGCTTATTTTATAATTTTTCATAAATTTTTCATTTTTCCCATTGGGAACTGCAGTTTCCATTAATAGATAGAATAAGCAAACAGTATAGTTTTGGTGAAGTAAAACACAGCACTAATTCATAGAGCATATGAAATATTTATCCACCCCACTGGCTCAAATGAGTTGGAATATCCCATTGATGCTGATGGCCTTCAGTATCCTCATTTTAGAGAACTGATCGCTCTAGTGGTTTCAGGTGTGGTGGTGGAGCAAAAGCCATAGACTGACTCTTCAGGGAAATGGAGAACAAAGCAATTTTTCCCCCAGTTTCTCTATCTTTCTTTTAAATATAGTCAGTCCTCTTCTGTAGTAAAAGACTATGTTGCATTGACTGGTGTCTACACCTCTGCTTTTATTTATTTAATGATATAAATAATTACTTATCTTATTGGAATTTGGAAGATGACCAAAAATCTATTTTCTCTTTCTTAATTTTATTCTATTTTTTAGGGAGGTTGAAAAAATGATTCCATATTTCCATGAATATTAATGAAATCATGGACAAAATAAGCTATTTAATTTAGCAGAGGAGCTTCTAAGCTGACTGAAAATTTCAAAGCTATATGAAGAATGAAAGAAAAGGTTTGCACTTGGACCATAAATCTTCAGTCCCCAGGCCAGCAGATGAACCACATGAGTTATACAGATTCCCAATTCATTTATGGAAAATACTTCTGATAAAGATCTGATCATTCCCAAGGAAGAAATAAGAGGCTTTTCAACACCACCCACAATAAGTTATTTCTTATCAAGTTAATGGTCTTGATAATCCTTGTTGGATTATGAGCACCTTTATTCTTCAAAAACCTCAGTAGGAGGTAAAGACACGAGACAAATAGCAGGCCTCCCTTTGACATTTGCAGGACAAGGCCCAGACATTTTAAAAATTACTTGAAACCCCAGTGCAGAGAAGAGCACTTTGTATTATTTCCCACAGAGGAAACATTAAACATGCACTCCATAAAGGTGAAAAAGATCATTAAAGAGTTAAGACTTGGGTTAATATCTCCATTATAATTCTTGCACAGAAGAATTAGGTGTCGTGTTCCTGATCTGTTTTTTAGCAATGGGATACACAAGGAAGGATTTCCATTAAGGTAATAAAAAGAGCTGCGTGTGTACTTCAAGGGAACAACACGATGCCCTGTGAGCTCAGGGACGTAACACTACAACACGAACGCCCCTATCCCTGCTCACTCCCAGCCTCGCTTGCGGGCAGACACTCCAAGGAGCCTGGCTCTTCCCCCCGGGGAGCTGACCTTCAAAATATAAATGGTTAGCTTGCCCTGCTAGCATGCGTCCTCACTCACCGGCTTAAACAGATGCTACAGATTGATTTGTCCCCTGATCACTGTTGGAGTTGCTGACTGAAATGCTGAAGGTTAACAGCTTTTTAATTGAGTTCCTTGGCGTGACCACCCATAAATTGTTTTAACCTTCATTCAGCTTAACCTTCTTCACACACACAGACTCTCTAGGTAACGCAAGGTTGACACCAACTGTGTCTTTATGCATCCTGTCTTTACAAAGGAGCACAAACATACCTCTTGGATTTAAATAATTTTGGAACCATTTTGGAGGCTGCAATGTAAAGCCAAATTTAGTAGTATCCTTGGCTGCCCCTCGTGGCCCACAAGCCTGGGAAAGGTCCCCAGCAGCCAAAGTATACATACACACACACACACACACATATACACAGTCATATACGTATACATACAGGCTACATATATAGCCCTTAAGAGGGCGAAACAGCATAATGTGCATTTCCATTAGAAATGGGGGGGAACTTTTCATTGACACAACTTCTCCCCCTCACAGGACTTACCATGTGCTCATTACGCCAACTAGTGCTAAAACTGCTGCTCCAGTAAATCTCTGCTTCCTTCACACTCACAATTAGGCAGCCTTTTGTACCCAAGCTATAGCAGAAATTTTACTAAGGGTATACAGTTCTTACTTGCACTTGCAAAAGTGCTGGTATGCAAGCTGTTCAGAGCTGTATTTGCAAAGTGTGGCTTGCTTTTCCCAGTGACTACTTTACTGTTGGTATCATTATTTGCATCAGTGTCCATAGACGCCAAAGAATTTTGAGCCCTGCAATGGCTACTGTGATGTTAGCTACTGTCTCTATGTATACATGCAGTTAATGCACAAGGTGAAATACTCTAAGGTATTAACCGCAAAAATTTGCAAAGGGCGCAATTTTCAAAAGCTTCAAAGTAATTCAGATATGTAATTAACTTAATGAGATATTAAAATCCTGACTGCAAATTCTAGTAGGGATCTATCAGCATCTTTTAAAGCCTAAATAAAATGGAAAATCTAGCATATTGTTACTGACCTAGAGGTCTGATAATTTCTTCAAACTGAACAGAAACAATAAGTTAAAGAAAATCTAAGCTGCATAAATGAAGATGTATCTCCTTTCCTCAGCTGAACTTCAGTGGCTAGCCTCATGGTTTCCCAGACCAGGTATTTAAATGTTAGAAGATTCCTTGAGATAGTATATATAGAAAATTTCTGGATAGTTATCAATTCCCCAATAAAACTGCCTGTTTGAAAAGAATTGTCTTTTCTGTCTTTCAATATATAATTATCTAACTACTTCTATATGCATATGTACAGTAAATTATGTGCATGTGTATAAGTTGGTTGACTGAAAATGTAGCAGAAGAGATGGCTTTCTTTACATCAATTAGCTGTGACGGCTGTAACTTGGAGTTCATAAGACATGTATTATTTCTTGCCATGCACATACACAGAGGTTCTTTTCTGTTGAAAACTGCACATATGCTTTGTTCTAGTCATCCAGCCAACCTCTTATACTTCAAGTGAATTTAGAAGTCTAAGACGCACAACTAAAGTCACAGCGTAAAGGCAAGTATTAATATCATCTATATTTCCTTCTTTGTACTTAGTTATTTTTTTCCTGCATTTCTTGCTGATTATCTCTAAAGAATTCTGATATTTCTGTCTCCGTAAATTAGTCCAGCACTCCGTATATGTTCAAACTTTTACTCAAGCAGAGGACAAAATCTTTGCTTGCTTAATGGACCCAAAGGAGATAAAAAGCACAGTACCTGAATTCATGAGTACGTTTACAGTCATAAACCCTTCATTACCAAGGTAATTTTGCACACCCAGTACTTTAAGAGATTAAAAAAATAAATAAATTACACTAAGTGAGCAGTTGCCAGGGTGACAGAAATGAGATGATGTGTGAAATGACTGAACTGAGGTGGTAAATGATAAGAAAACAGATTCATGACTGACAGCATGTCTAGAAAGGGAAGGGCCTGATTACAGGCATCTAGGGAATCTCATCCCTCTCTTCCTTCCTCTGCTCCCCATAGTGATAAGTCTCCAACCCATACGAGACTTATCAATATGGATGTTTGAGATTCACGTTAGACTTACCCTGACAACAGTTTTCTCTGCACTAATCTGAAGTATAAAATAGCTCTAAACTGAGAACCTGTGTCCCTTTCTGAAGTGAAAATCACAGAGCTGTGAAGCAGAGCCCGTGACACCTAGAAAAGGGAATATAACTCTTTTACTGTGCTTCCTTCACACTCAGAAAGACAGTATTTGGAAGCCTCACTCCATATTCAGGTTCAGAAATCCTGACACGTATGAGAGAGTGTGTTTCATCATGGATCTATTGGTTAACACTTCTGGTATTTAGAAAACAGTGCCATTTATTGCCAAGACTTTAAAGACATTTATATAAAGGTAACAGATGTACAAACAGATCTATGTCCTTTGTGCATGTTTGTTCAATGTAAAAATATATGCACAGATTTGGTTTTACCAAAACGTACAAAAAAATAAAATTCAGCTGTACTTAACCAGTTCTGAGTTTTGTTTTGAATGGTATCAATCTAAAATAAAATGACCTGCTAATATTAGAACTTGCTCATGTAATTTCCTATACAGAAAAGGAGAAACATACCTTATGATGACCGGCGATTGTAGCAATGTGAAGGGCTGTCAAAGCTCCATACCCGACTTGCTGAATGTCAGCTCCACCATGCAGCAGCGCTGTTAACAGTTCTGCACTGTCCTAAAAGGTATGCATTTAAAACATGTTATTTCTGGGACACAGCTCTAATAGTTGCACGTGGGGAGCCAAATAGAACTGTGTATGTCTAGGCCTCCCCAGCTATTACACTGCTGCATTTCAAGAAAAGGGACTGACCATGACCCAAGGAGTGCAAGAGTGCAAGGAGAGGAGTGAAGGGAAGATTTGTCCTGGGCACCAGAAGTCTCTCTTTTGCTATAATAAAGCCTGTATCTTTAAAAAAAGTCTCTATTCTGATTTTATGATCTTATGATTTTAAGATGTCTCAGTCTCCAGGCCATTATTAAGTGCTCACACAAACTGTTTTACATGTCAAAACAACAGTACCTAACACAGAAGAAGGCCACCTGAGGAGTTCCTAGGGTAAATATATAGCATGTATGCCAAATTCTGACCTGTGACCTTATTTTTCATGTTGTTTCACTTCTTTCCTGTCATGTACACATTTTTTGCTGTGACTTCTTCCAGGTATAACAACAGCAATGAGCACTATCAAATTATAGCAATAAAAATAAACTTGAGAAACACATTAAGAGTCATAATGCTCAGGTATAACTGTTAATAAATTCTACTTTACAAATAGTGAAATTAAACACAGAGAAGTGAAATGATTCATCTGGGGCAGTGACAAAACTCGCAGGAGAAATCCAGGCCATCTTGCTCACCATCACTTGTTCTAACTGCACCAACTAGAGCTATCATAATTTTCCTTTTTTGAGGATCTGCCTGCCATCATCACTCAGCCTAGAGATAAGCCTTCTCCAATTTGGTTACATTGCTTCCTAAGAAGAAATGAACGCAAGTCAAGGGCAAAAGAGATGTTAAATGCTTCAAACTTCCTCATTGTTCTCTACCTCTTTGAAGTAGACACTAAAAGAAGGGCAAGAATGAATCAATGTCAGAGAAGCAGCAGTTAAAATATATCTGTGAAAGCATAACATTTGTTCATACTGAAATAGTTTTCCTATTTTCAGAAAATATTAGGAATTTCTCTTTGATAATAATAGACAGTAAAAGCTTATAAAAAAGTTTATATCACTTTTCTTATCAAATAGTTTCAGACCTTGAAACATGGTACTTGCTTGCATAATGGATTGAATATTATGCAGCTCGGGAAGACAGTTTGAGTTTGAATTATCTTGAAACGTTCTGCTCTAATTAGTGGCTCTGTCCAGTCCCCCTAGTTCTGTTTTCCTCTTATGAAATACCACAAAAATTTCAGATTACAGATAAGAAGAAATCACAAGAAGTTGCCCTGTCTCAATATACATTACTTTATTGTTTCTGAGATATCTCTAGACTCCTTTATATTTTACTTAGAAAAGAGCTATAACATAACAAATGCTGTCGTTGGGTAACTCATGGTAAATCTTTAAGTCTTAAAATGTCACTTATGGGAGAAATAGTATATTACATTTTATTTTACATCCCCAAATTCACACTAGTTTGTTTAGCTTTGCGCAACCTGAAAAAGATATTAGCTATTGTATTACATGACTTGAGTGATTAAATAAGTTGCTGATAGACTTTTGTGCCTAAGTGGATGCAAGAGTTCTATCAACTTTACAGTGCAGGGAAAACAGACAAAACAAGATTTGATAGCAAGATCAAAACTATTCCCAAATAATGAAAACATCCTAGAAATCTGTTATAAATCTGTTTAAACAAAGGAATTTTTTTTCAGCTAAATTATTAATTGGAAACAATTCACTGAGATTAACATTAAAGAAAGGCAGAGAAATTCTTCTGGGCAATTGGCTAATTATGCAATGTCGCGCATGTGGGAAAGTTCCTTTTATGATTGCTGTAAACCATCACTTCATCCCATGATATAAGGTTTGATTATTGTCATCATTTTATAGCTTGCATAGCTATTTGGTACCAGTGGTTGTAAAATTAAACTAACATAGGAATTCCAAGACATAATGTAAGATACAGCAAGTGCTCATGTTATAGTTACCAGGAGTGCAAATAGTAACCATGGTGCAAATATACAGAGCTAAGCCATGGAGCTGCAGAGCATAAGGCATGCACAGCATATCATAACGTTTAGGTATCTGGCTCAATGACTGAGTCTTCAGCCTATTTAATGACCACCTCTCTAAATACACCTGGAGCAAGTTCAGCATTCCAGTGACAGGATTCATGAAATCCAACATTTGGAGCAGGAAATTGCCTTAGCTTGTCCATAGCAAACACCGGAAACAGAGGGGTGTCTTTCTTCCCAACTTCAGACAAAATTACAAAAGCTGCTGCTTGCATCTCTTCTTTCTTTCCACTCCTACCTCCCTCTACAATAGGTAAAACATCGGGGGTTCAGTGTCTTTGTTGCACAAGGAATACCTATGATTGTATGCCACATGTTTTGGGGAATACTGTTGTTACTCAACCTATGTTACACTTTCCCTTCAGTCTCCCTGTTCTGATGACCCTCCTGTTCATTTCCAAGGGAAAGCTGGTTGCATGCCCACTCCAGGATGGCCACAGCCTGCTGATTCGCAATATGAGTTTGAATTCTCTCCAAGACAGACTTTGGTCTCCTCTCTGGACAAATATTCTAACTATCAGATTATTACTTAATAGAAGGCAAACCATCTCTTCCACAGGTGAGCTTTTGGAGGAGAATGACTGTCA